TTTATGTATGTACGATGTTAACTCCCAAAGTTATAAAAATGTACAAAAAGTAACTTTTCAGCTTGGAGATAATTGAGTAGATACAGTAATTGACTCAATTATCTCCTAAGCAAAGGGGAGGAATATGCTGGGTGTGTTTCTATTGTCCCATTGTGTCTGATTGGCTGCTGTACTTGCATTGTATGTGTTGTAATGTGTTATTGGTGGTTCTGCAAAACCCTGTGGGCAGTACTATGTTTTGTGGATTGTAATAAAAACCAGGCTGGGTGTGCCAGCACTTCAGTTCCTGCTTAACCCTCAAAGTGAAGTGTCGTCTCATTATTGGGGGAGGATTTATTGTATGCTGTTCCAGTTTGACTGCTAGGAGAGTAAACCTATTCGTATGGTTCCTATTCAACTGTCTACAGCATTCATATGCTTGAGAGCATTCATATGCTCCTACAATTCGGTGGTTGTCGTGTCTGCTGCAGTGCTTGGAGTCCTCTGGAAGCGCTAGGAGCATCCTTCAACGGAGGTACCCAGTCGGGGTGCCAGGCGATCCGTTACAGTAAATGTGCAATATTTTTAAAAAAAAATATGCCTTGAGCTTTTTAAATTGTGTTACATGTACATTAGATTATATTTTGTAAAATAAAAATATTTTACTTTCATTATTCTTTAAATTTCATTTTCATTCTACAGTATATTTTTAGTATCAAATACGTGCTACCTATAAAGAACTTGAATGTTTGAGGCTTTCAAATATGTGAACTTGATATACTGAGCCAAAACTTATCTAGCTTGATGCATTGGTATTGATTATTTTTAAATAGACATCTTTAGTTTACAGTAAATATATAGAGGCAACAGAAATAAACACTCAGCGCTACTACCTCTTGAGTGCCTAAGAGACTATGGGTATCATAGTGATAAATGTTTTATTGCTTGAAGTACTGCTTCTATGACCCAATAATAAATTTGTTGTCATTAATACATTTGTTGTGTTTTCCCCCATGACACATAGTTACTAAGTGAGAAAATCGAATTAACTTTATGGAAATGGCTTTCTAAATAGATTCTATGAGGCTTGTTTGCACATTCACACAGTGATGAGTGGAAAATGCTCAAAGACCATGGCACAAGGTATGACTGTATGAGTGTAGGGTATGAGTTTAATGGTGCAGGTTATTGATGCAAAAATGCAGAGTATGTGAGTAATGAATCAAGGTATTAAAGTCCTAATTCAGTAAATGAGTCTACCAACGCAGGCCATGGGTTTAGTAATGCACAGTAGACTTGTGCACGGAAAAAATAATTGGTTAGTCTAATTGTGTCCATGTGAATGGTTTAGGAAAATCTATTCAGGCAAAAAACAGTGGCATGAAAATGCACCTATTACGGGGTTATTCATCAACCTGAACGGTCATGTTGTGAATGGGGCAAAACCATTTGCGGCAGTATGGGGTTATTGGGGCGGCAAAATCCAGACATTGTTCACAGCATGTATTAGTCTGAATTTGTTCTGGATTTCATCAAGACCAATAAATGCCGGACAGGTGTATTCCAGACCCAGATTGTTACAATCTAGGCCCTTATGTCAATTTAATGTCCACTCAGTTAATGTGTCAGACAGATACGCATACACTCGCTAACAGAAACACACACACACACTAACAGACACACTCACTAACAGACACACACTCACTGACACACACATTCACAGGCAAACAGACACACACACAGTCAGACACACACTAACAAACACACACACACTAACAGACACACACTCACAGGCAAATACACACACTCACTGACACACAGTCAGACACACACATACACTAACAGACACACACAGTCAGACACACACACTAACAGACACACACAGTCAGACACACACTCACACAGTCAGACACACTAACACACTAACAAACACACACACATTAACAGACACACTCACAAACATATACACACACTCACTCACATTAACACATTTTTATTTTTTTATTTAAACCCCCCACCCCCCCAGCCTCCTTACCTTTGGGAATGCTGGGGGGGGGAGGGTTCCCTTTAAGGTAAATTACATCTGTGAGGCCGGGAGCCGGAATATGACGTCATCAACCCGGCTCCCAGCCTCACTCTGCAGCGCGCGAGAGAGCTGAGCGGACCACTGAGAGGAAGAGCTCCCTCGCCAGCCGCCCGCACAGCAGCCAGCGCCGCCCGCCCGCTCGGCATGTCTGTTAGCCGCAATGCTAACTAGGCATTTGCTCTGGGCAATTGGGGCGGCGTTTTTTGCCGCCCCCTAAAAAATGCCGACAAGGCAAATGCCTTGTTTGCCTCGTGGCTAAAACGCCCCTGAATAGGTGTACCATGACAGATTATTAGGGTAGTGATATAGAGTATAAGGGGACTATTGCCTCTATAGTCTGTTATATTGCATATTTGACAGAATTGTCACTTAGATCTAAATATTTCCATTCTATGACATGGGCACCATCATCTATTTAGCTGGCTTCTATATCACCAGCATAGAAGATTCTTTGTTTAAAGGACCACTAGAGTCCCCTAGACAACTTCATCTCAGTGAAGTGGTTTGTGTGCCGTGGTCCTGTATTTTTAACCATGCAATGTATATCATGCTGCTTTTTTTTAAATGTTTACATTGATGGTTAAGTACCCTTCTAACGGCTGACTTTCAGATAGCTGCTAAAGACACTTCCACTGCTTAAGTGGCATGGCAGCTCACCAAACTTTCCTAGGAAAAGCATTGGATGTGTGCATGGCACCTGACGCGCATGCACATCAAGTCCGATGTGCTTCTTCATGAGGAACAGAGGAAAACAAGAAAATGGACACAATGGGTTTGAATCCCTAATGCTATAAAGTTCCATTAAGCTGGACATAACTATTCTATTGGAATGCATTCAGATACATATATGTGTACATATGCTAAGGTATGTGCATATTACTGTGTACAAAGCTGCCCAGAACTCAAATTCCACAAGCAATAAAGTAAATTATGTTTCCAGAAACCTTTTTCTTTTTTTACTTGACTGCTAATTAGATTTCTAAAAAAAAAAAACCTCCTTTAACTAAATCTATATTTTATTAATTAAAGGGACACTATAGGCACCAAGACTACTTCAGGTCATTGAAGTGGTCTGGGTGCAGTGTCCCTATTGCACTTAGTGCTGCAATGTTAAAGGAACACTATAGTCACCTACATTACTTTAGCTAAATAAAGCAGTTTTAGTGTATAGATCATTCACCTGCAATGTCACTGCTCAATTCACTGTCATTTAGGAGTTAAATCACGTTGTTTCTGTTTATGCAGCACTATCCACACCTCCCCTGGCTATGAATGACAGAGCCTGCATGAAAAAAAAAAACTGGTTTTACTTTCAAACAGATGTAATTTACCTTAAATAATTGTATCTCACTCTCTAAATTTAATTTTAATCACATACAGGAGGCTCTTGCAGGGTCTAGCAAGCTATTACCATAGCAGGGGATAAGAAAATCTTAATTAAACAGAACTTGCAATAAAGAAAGCCTAAACAGGGCTCTCTTTACAGGAAGTGTTTATGGAAGGCTGTGCAAGTCACATGCAAGGAGGTGTGACTAGGGTTCATAAACAAAGGGATTTAACTCCTAAATGGCAGAGGATTGAGCAGTGAGGCTGCAGGGGCATGTTCTATACACCGAAACTGCTTCATTAAGCTAAAGTTGTTCAGGTGACTATAGTGTCCCTTTAAACATTGCAGTTCCAGAGAAAGCTCTAAGTCTGCCTCCTGTGACTGTCTCCTAGATAGCTACTCGAGGTGCCTCCTGGATCCTTTGGTCTGGTAACTGATGCTGAACGTTCTCATGCTCTGCATGAGGACAGCTAGCATGAGATTTTTCCCCATAGGAAAGCACGGATTGATTCAATGCTTTCCTATGGGGAAGTCTAATGCCCATGGCATTTGCTGCACATTCGCATTAGCAGCCACTCAGCGCAGGATGCCGGATACGACAGAGCCGTGACCCAGCATGCTTGCAAAAGGTAAGTAAATAAAGGGTTTTTAACACTTTATTCGCTGACATTGGGGGGTGCAGGGGAGGGGGGAGGCAGACAGAGCTATAATGCCAGGATCACAGCTTTGTATTCCTGGCACTTATAGTATCCCTTTAAGACTTGTGTAATGCTCATATGTAGAATCTAACTTGAGTTTCATAAGTGTCAGGACATTCTACAACTGTGCTTTCATCAAAATAGAACTTTTATAGAACATCAGTGGTTTTTTTTTTGTCTAAAGAATCAGTAAAATGGATAATCAGGAGTTACTGAGTAGTTTTTAAAATAACAAAGTACTAGCAGGGTCATTTATTGCTCAATGCTGGGATATTTGATGAGTTAAGAAATGAACAGAGTATTATAGATAAAACGGTCTTAAATACTCTACAGTGCTCTCCGGTCTCTTGCATTGTCCTTCTGCTCTTTTTCAGTCTCTCGAGAAACATTTTTGTCGTTATAAAGAAGAGAAATGTCCCACTGTCCCATAAAGTGAATTGCCCGATGTTATCTAAACACTGCAAGATAATGATAAAATAAACTATGATACAATGCTTTTGGCTGGAATATGTTTTTCTGGCAGATACCGAATCTGAAATAAGTTGGTATATGTAGCACTCCTGAGAACAAGCTTTACTTTCTTCACATCCATCTTACACAGATACAATATAACAACCTGTAGTATGGAACACAACTGGAAAAAAAAACACATGTTAGAAGGTCGTATTAGGCAAACATTACTACGCTGTAAGTCTCTCTATCAAACAAGGTCTTCTTCAGGTGTAAAGAAGCTGACGGTATGCAATAATAGTCAGATATTAATTCATATCAAAGTGTTATGTTAGTAGATTAGTATTTATTTCAGAGGCCCATGCAAAATACAATAAGAAAATGCAATAAAGAAAAAATACAGTTTAAATTGCAAATGTTTGCCAAATAGTGATGTCGCGAACCGTTCGCGGCGAACTCCGGTCAGTTGACACATCCCTGCCAATCTCCGGCAGACCCTCCCTCCCAGATCCTCCCACCTCCTGGACAGCATCCATGTTGAAGCTGCCTTCAATATGGATGCTGTCCAGGAAGTAGGAGGGTCTGGGAGGGAGGGTCTGCCGGAGATTGGCAGGGATGTGTCAGCTGACCGGAGTTCGCCGCGAACCGCAGCGAACCGTTCGCGGCAAGTTCGCGAACGGTTTGCGACATCACTATTGCCAAATAGAGAAAACTGCTAAAATAACTATTTTCCAAGCTCAGCTGGTTTGATTATCTGTAAATTCCTGACAATTTCTGGTGTACGGACTAACCTTGACAGTCTTCTTGTGATAGTAAAATATATATATAATTGAATCTCTTCATTTTCTCAAAGCACTTCCCACGAGCCCACCCAGGTTCCTACTATGTGTATAGCATGCTTCTCCAGCTGTTTAAGGTCATTCTCAATGACCTCCTCATTCCCTTTACATTTTACCAATGGGTTCTACTCTCCATTAACCTCCTTTAGCATCACTTCACAAATCCTCATTTTATCCTTTTGATTGTAAGCTCATGGGCTATCTAGCTAAACACTATGTATAAAAGAGCTTCAATGGATAGATCTCAGTTTACAGGCAGGGCCCTCTTTGCCTTTTTTTTCTTTTTTTGTCGGTGTATATTGTACGTTCTCCCCTAATTGTACAGCACTGCGGAATATGTTGGCGCTTTATAAATGCCAGAATTAAATAAATAAAATAAATAATGAGATAATACATGTAATGCAAATATACTTTGAGCTATATATTTTCCATTCAAAGGCAGCTCTATGTGCTGACCCCATGGGAGATTAGAAAATTGATGTAAACTCTTAAAAGTGGATTAATCACCAAATAATTGGATTTGCTTTACACAAAAATTGCTTAGACCGTAAAACACTGCAGTACATTTCAGATCTTTTTTTTTTTGTACTGCCCTCCTATGCAGGGCCGTTTGAAGGAATTTGGAGGCCCCAAGCAAAATGGACATGGAGGCCTCCCCCCCGCCCCACATGCACGCAAAGCCTACATAAAACCACAGCATAGCCATACAGTTTAAGTTCAGCCACACTTAAATAAAAAAGGTTTACAGTGCAAATATTGCTGTTGCATATACTGTGCATAAAACCTTTTCAACAATTAAACATTTGCAAAAAAAACACTGTACCATAAAATCAAATATACATTAAAAAAGTGCACAATAACTAAATCCAATATACTTAAAACACACACACACACTCACAATAAAATTTTTCAATTCTCACAAACATGTGCAAATTATCTGAAACTGCTCCCACCCTGTCCTTCTTACTCTCCTCCCCCTCCCTGTGTCCTTCTTACTCTCCCTCCCCCTCCCTGTGTCCTTTCTACTCCCCTCCCCCCTGTTCTTCT